TTGTTGTGTATCATTAATGTGAATAATAACGCAAACGTAAATTATAGTCTTTTATTGTCAAACATATAAATCGTAATGTCGTATAATGAAATTATGTGCTGGCTACTGACCGATGGACAATCCCCACCGATCGTAATATGATACTTATTATTATTAATGGTTAAACACTACGTTTCTTATATTATATAAATGCTGAATATGCAACAATATTAGTAAACCAACAAAGCTGAACGTGAACTGAATGAGCTTACATTTGTCATTTACCAACTGATGTGCACTTATGAGTTGTGAGTCGCAGACATTTACAGATGCGTTTTACACCTACTTGAGTTATAACCTCATCCCCAGAACTTATATCGTTGCTATTATACGGCTTTTATGTTTGCAGCGTTCGTGTTTTGCGCTTTGCTAGAATTCACGGTGGTCAACTATATGTGGAGAAAACTGAGGCCAGACATATTGAGAAACATATTAACGGAACCGGTGAACGGTGGCACCTCGGGCACAAAACCGTACGACGAAAATCTACCCTCGTCGCCGGTCATACCTGTCAGCGTGGTAATGACAGTTGTTCAACAAACAGTTGTTGATCAAACACGTTGTATTACATATATTTATATCAATGCATTATTAAAACGGTCGGTGTGATCTGCGGGGCAGTGCATTTCGCGATTCATACCACAATATTATATTAATATAAATCTCGTTCGTGGATAACACATATAGATTTTTCTTTACGCACTTTTATTTCTGACGGTAAATTCCTTGGTAAATAAATCATATATTGCCGGTTTTTGTATTTATATGTAGGTACCTATAATATTAGTAGTATATAGGAGTACCTACTAGGCATAGTAATATAATGAAAAAATTGAACTTTTGCATCGAAATGTGTCAATTCTGTCTCAAAATAAAAAACGTACTTAACTGTACGAAATTCAAAATGATATTATGGGGTTTAATTTTATTTTTTTAAATACCCGAGCTCTTTACATTTCGAGTGCGGGGTACCTTCGACCAGGGAATAGCCGAATTGATTCCAATTTAGTTGAATTGATTCCGTTTAAATGTATGATGATCCCACTACTGGTTGAGTCGGGTCTCGTTTTTTAACTAAGCACATTTTCTTTCCCAATTTTACAGGCTTAGTACTGTCAACTTAAAAGAAGGTATTATACTTAAATAGCTATCGTCGAAATGGAAGTCAACCAGTCATCAGTTATAGATATAAATAACATATAATTATTTTAAATTTTAAATTGTCGAACTGATAAGTTAACCTTACCCGGCAAATTTGAAGCAAACTTTCTTCAAATATTCTAATCGTGCAAGTTTCCCATTGGCCATTAATGTAGTCAGTCATACACTTTTCCGAATATAAGTTCTTTTTCCTTGTTTTTGGATAATTTTTCCTGTACCTATTACTACTGCAAATGTAGTGTACTAGTGTAATTACATTTTTAAATACTGCGTTCAACGTCGGTCTCCATAATATAAACAAATATTATGATGGACGTTGGTAATTTTTTTATATGATTTGATATGGGAAAAAAATTGCCCAAAAATTAAAATGTTTACTACCCATTTGAGACGAGAACCGATTCAGCTCGTCTAAATAAAATACTACTTTTAAACGGGAACCAATTCGGCATGTGGGGTAGGGGCCCGGGAACCACTTCTATAACAGACGTCGCCCCCAACTTTTCTCTGTACAGCATCGTTTCTCGTCCACCCCCGTGACTGCCCATAGGTTAACCCTACGATTTTAACAGCCACAAACAACACCTGCGTATAATATAATGTTACCCGTGTGTCTAATACTCGCTGTGTGTGTGTTCTGTTGGGCAGGTCAAGAAAATCTTACAACAAGAGTGCGCCTATTCGACGTCCGCGGAGACCAACACGGTGCTGGCGAGAAAGATCGACGAATACTCCAGACTGCTGTTTCCGGTCGCGTTCATAGCGTTCAACGCGCTGTATTGGCCGTATTATTTGCAAAACTAAAAAAAAAACACACACACCGCCTCCGCCGCCGCCACTACAGCAACGCCTAAGGGACAAAATCCACGACCAGCGAATAACACTCGCGCCTACATACTATACCATAATATTCTCACTCTCCACATAATAATGACTCCGTTACACCAGCGCAATAGTAATAATAATAACAATCGTAATATAAAAATGTATTATCGTCGCGGCTCTCTACGCGCGTGGGTTTATTTCCCCGCGAAATCTTAGCGAAAAATAAATACAAACGACGGCGAGTACGCACGTTGCAACAGCTGCTGCAGGCGGGTACCTACTTACAAGTGGCGACATGTCGATATAATATCCTGCTACGGGGTGTGATATCCGACGGATATTTTCTACTCTATATGCGACGCGACATCGTCACGTCAGCGGCGGCGGCGACGACGGAATGATATTATAGAAGAAGCCGCGTTATGTCGTCAAGAAAACAATACGTCGGCATCTGGCCCGGACCGTAGTACGACCAACGTTGGTTTTTGTTTTTCCGTAATATTATGTTTGAATTCTGTTTTTTTCCCGTCTCGACAAAGACAACGGACGTTCACCGTAAACCACCCCTCCGGCGCACAGCACCGCCACGACCCACACGACCTACCCCGCGGTTTTCGCGCCCGCGCACAGATATTATACATTATAATAGTATTATACGTCATAATGATATACTCGTACAAACAGCCGGCTACACAATTATATACAGAGCGGTTCACCGACCTCTAACAGTAGATATTTTATTCAAATTATAATTATTGACGTTTTCTAGTGGGTGTAGTAAAATTGTTATAAAAACAATATTTTCAAATTCGTACTTTAGATTTCGGGGAGAGTCGCAGAATTGTTAATTTCAAACGTGAACTAACCTTTTTCGCTTTAAAATGTTGAGCAGATGGTTATTTTTCAAAATGTTGAAGTATCATATTTATTAATTATTATATTATCACATATAACCGAAAATCTCCAAACTATTAACTTGGTAGTAGTAAAGAAAATTGAATTATTTGACTATTGTTGTATGTGTAGAGGATAGTATAGATAGGTACATGATAAGTTCGGAATATAATATATGGGTAGTGGTAGTAACGATTTTTATTATAAATTATAAATATTTAAATGAAACTAATTAACATTTTATAAAATTTGTTATAACTGTATAAGTGATACATTTAAATTATAAAATTATATAATATGCAGTAAAACTTCCATATAACGAAGTCAAATAAGCAGCAAAAAAAATATCGTAATTTTGGAGGAATTCGTTAAATAGAATTAAGTATTTTTTTCAACTTTTTTTAAAAATTGTATTGTATGTATGTATATATACTTCTATGTACGTTATGTAAAAAACAACATCAAATATAACATTATAGTTTAATTTAGTTTTTAATTTTATAATTCAAAAGAAATAATTATTGAGTTTTGTTTCCTTATTATTTTTATAAATTGTACTTTTTAAATTTGATGTAAAACCATTATTGGATACTGTTATCAGTAATCGTCCTTAATTGTAATAACTCAAAAACTACTGGTTTGAATTTAAATTTAGATTTTTATTTAAACATTTTAAAAATAATCATCAACTCAACAACATTTACCGTAAATTGTGGTCTAAAATATAAGTATTTAAAACTTAGGTGGCGCTTAAAAATTCCCAAAATTATAATTTGAATAAATGCATCATTAAAGGAAAAAAACCGGTGGTGAGCTTGAGTGATTAATCACTCTGTATATAATGTATGCTATACACCGAGAAAACGTAATCCGCGGACTATCCCCTGCATTATACTGCTTAAACGCATATACGTACCATATAATATATTCTCGTCCGTTTTTGTTATTTTTCTCTTATTTTAATTCCCGTGCAGTACGAGACAGTTGTTGGTAGGCGCCTCTGTGGGTACCGAGGTGATACTTTTATGGCCTCACAATGGTTTCTTCGGTGAACGTTTATGTTTTTGAAAATATGCTTTTGCTCACACATTTTGAAGTCTTCTTGACGAAAAAAAAATTATTTAAAAACACAGAAATTTACCGGAAAAATGACTGTGAAGTGGTGGTAAACGGATCGCTCTGTATATATGCGCGTGTACAAAATTACTATACAAGCCGAATACGATTACATCGCAATAATAATGAGATTATGTTGACGGTAATTCGAGATCACCGCGGTTTGTATCTTTATGTATTCGTCTAATAATAATAACTCAGTCCGAAAAACTATAGTCCCCTTCAATCCTTGTCGTTCATTCGCTACGCGTTTTAATTTGCGCAATTTAATATAAAAATTCATCTCATGTATCGTCCGTCCTCCTACATAAATTCTATTACATCCGGTCACTTTTGAACCAAAAGGAAAAGTTTTAATACAAACTATGGTTATAATAAATTACATTTTTAACATTTCGCATCCATCATTAATACGTTTCACTGTAAATAAAAATACACTTATTTATAAATAATAATACACTATACTAAGTTACCCGATAACACATATTTAATACGGTTTTTTTGTTGGGAATCTTTAAATAAAAATTATTTTCTAAGGACTAGCCACCCCCATCATACTTATAGGTAGGTATTGATTAAACGACATTATATCATGTATTTAATATAATATAATATGTATTATAATTACAGTACGGATTTTTAATCATTCAATAGCTATTGAAAAAGCATTTAAAATAAGGCTCTAGAAAATCATTTAAAAACATAACTATCTGTTTTTAACATTTTTTTATTATTAATATCATGTTTACACTAATTAATGTTGATATTATTTTTTCCAATAATTAATCTGTAAATTGAATAAACTATTTTCGATAGTTTATAAAAATACATCAAATTATAATAGGTACTTATTAAAATAATTTACATATCCTATTATCCTCTGAGTTGAATTGGACTATAAAAGTTTTTTTAAGTTTTCGAACAAAATTCGCTGTCAACAATCAGACACCAAAATTTGTTTGGGTTTGGAAAAACTATGTTCTACATCAACTGATAAAGTTCGATATCAATTTAATAAAAAAAATTGAAAAACAAAAATTATTTGATGTTTTTTTTTAAATAAACTAAATTTGATGAAAGCTCTAAAAAGGTATTAAAAAATAAAAATAACAAAATCTATAAAGTCTAAAATCACCACAAAAAAGCAAAATAAAATTATGTACATTTATTACGTTATATGAATTAGTAGATGAAAAAAAATAAATGCCTTTAACATCCGTACTTTAATTATAATGTATTACATATTTAATTAGTTATTTCAAATGTTCTTCTTTCGAACATGGCACTTATCCAGTCCATGATTTTTAAATTTCAGTGGCTGTCGTTATTTTTCTAACCGTTTAAGTATTTTTTAGTTAATTTTTAATACGACTCGCCTGAACATGTTTAATAATAAAAATTAGGATAATCGATAAACCTGTACATATTAAAAATAATCGTTATCGTTATTTACCAATTTTTCGTCACAATCCATCCGTTATACCTTATACCTACATTCTCTCAGTGGTTCATTATTTTTCAATACTTTTACCTATTGAGGGTATAGTGTTAGTTCATATTAATATTATGACGTTTAACTCAATCCGTGGTCTGTAAATGACAAGTTATGGACTATGGTTTTTACTAACAAATCAAACCGCTCCAAATTTAAATACACGAACACTACATTTAGAACTATACTCAACAATCTAGCAGTTAAATATTTATAGCGATGGGGGAGGGGGGAAAGAGTTTAAACTTTAAAACCGTTGTTTTGTATGTGTAAAAATGATTATCTATAAATGTGAATAAGAGTTTAATCGTTTTTAAAAATATTTTTATTTATAAGCATACCTATATTATTATAACATAATACATATATTTTATCATGTGGTCCAAGATAACTTTATTAATAACACATCATAATCTCTCTCTACATTATTTTGTTTCAATAAAATACGATTATAACCTACTCTTGCGATGGACGGAATCCGGCTACGTAACACGAACGCGCGGAGAGTATAATACCAAAATCAATAATATGATGTTATGAATCATTATAATCCACTAATAGTGGTGCGTTTTGCCAGTATATATAGAGACAGCATCTGAGTTGTGTACAGTCTTATAGTGTACCTACCACCATCGATGTGTTCCTTCATCACACAACCGAGTCTGGTTAGGTCATAAAAGGTTGAACTCTCGTGATGGACAGATATGACGAGCAATGCCACACTAAAAAATATTGACAGTTGTCGCCTCTGTCGGTGGTGGGCAATTGCAAAAACGTCTGAACGAGGAACATAATATATTTATTATTTTTCAATGCCTATGAATTATGATATAGGATCGACAACACTTGTTATAAACGATTAAACGATCCGCATACGCGTCGTGTCGGCCGGAAGCAGTCCAAAAACCGTTCCAATCCAAAATGTTCGTGAATCTTATAACAAATATTGTACGTGTAATAATAACTTTGAAACTACTTACATTTAATATGTGATTATACAGAGTGATTTTTTTTTGACGTAATCAACTCGTTGTATTTTGCAAAGGTTGTTTTTTTTTAATTATTTGTTCGAAACATCGCCGTACTTTATTACAACACTATATACAAGTGATTTTTAAGATGTTTAGTTGATGCGTAACGTATAAACGAAATACCAATACAAAATTAGATTTGTCCAAAATCTCAAAAACAAACTACCCACTCAAATAAGATCGTATTCCGTTAGAAAAAAATCGCTTTGTATGCACAGTGGAGGGTATATCACGTTCGGGATTCGTCATGTTTAAAGTATGTGATTTCAGTGTAAAATAATCGAGATCTTAGTAATATGCCCTATTTTAAAAAATAATTATAATATTTGAATGGTACGAATGGCTACCTGCCATCTAATTTATTATGTGCTAAATTTAATACCGTAGTTAGTTATTTATGACATTGTGCGTCTAAACGGTTTAAAAATATATATTATATTATAAAGTATTATCTAATTATTTTATGTTATTCTATATTAATATGTGTTAAATTAAAAATCTATTTTATTGGCTAAATATTATTATTGAATTTATTATATTATATCAATATTACCTTTATATATATATATATAATAAATATGCGTTGTAAATATTATTATAAAGATACTTTTCAGTGGAAACCATTTCATGTTGTTCTCTTTACTAGATCCTAAACAAAATATATGTTTACTCCACATTATTAACACAAATTTTGAATTTCTCCACACTCGCCACTCGCTCAATTCTCATACTACAGTTTCTTTAGCAAATACCTATAATTGATATTGATTGATGCAGAAATATCAGAATCGTACGCGGTGTGACACACATGTGCTGCCTACTTCACATCAGCGATTTACCCACTTTAAAATGTTAAGTTTTTGATTTCTTCTTTTGGTAGCTACCCATACCTATAGCTATTCTATAGAATTAATGTTATCATCAAATTTCATATTAGTCAATTTTGCTACACACCACCGTCTCATATTATATGAATATAATATATCATATCATATGCGTTTTGGATTTTAACGTAAGTACTAGTGTACAAAAATAACTATTTCGAAGTGTAATTGTATACACATCAAGCACATAAACCTACTTAATATTGTTTTATTATTTAAACACATAAATATATATATATATAACATTTAGTGTTTAGAATAGCGCCCACTCCATAACCGTCGACACGATATTATCTTTTTTGACTGTTTAAAATTTTAAATGCTTATAATACTGCGAATAATAAGAAACTATTCGTTCAACGTTCGGCGTGTGTACATCTAAACGTTGATGAAAGACTCGTATTCTGTTTCGGGCAAGATGTATTTTACATTTACAAAAATAGAGAAATAAGGTGCTATTTAAAAATCATAAAATTAGTAGCAGTTAGAATTGTATGGCCATGTTCCCTAGGTGAATACTGGATGATTACAAAAAAAAAAAAATAGAATAATTCCATGTTCAAATGACGTGAGTGTTCGCTGCAGCAGTTAAAATAATAAGCCTGTATATTAGCTATGTTATCAGCAATATATACATTATACGTAGTGAACAGCGGCGGAAAAATGTACAGAGAGAACGTAGCGATGCGAAGAAGGGCGGCCGAGATAGAGTATCAGGGGGTGCGGGTGGACGCAGGTATACAATGTAATGCGTAGTACGTGCCCGGAATAACTGATAATACCGTATATTATAATGCGATACAGGGGGCGGTAATAATTTCTTCTCTCAATTTATCGAAATTTTCGAAATTATAGTTCCGGAAAACTATTTTTACACCATAGTCCAGCAGTGGCGTGTTCAACTATTTTGAAAAGGGGGATTTGAATTTTTGACCATACCCTCGACCACGTTATATACACCTATATTATATTCATTGCTTTTTCATTTATTTTATATGACAATTTATAAGTCAAAGAGGGGATATGGTAGTATGATACCCTCATCCCCCCCGTGAGCACTCCTCTTCACCACACAAACCGCGATATACTACAATAATTATATCAATACTTGAGAAGTGCAGCGGTAGTATAGTAATAGGTGCACGGTATACTGCATAATTATTATACGTGGTCATTTTTTAGTTATACACCGACCTCGGAATTCTAGACTAACCATAAAAATTGTCATATTATCAGGCATTTGACATTGATTGCAAAACAATATTTACCTATTACCTGCAATAATAGCAATAGGCAAACAATATTCAAAGCTGTTCGAAAAAAATAAGTACCTACTCAAGGCTTTAATAATCAGCGCCGGCGCGAGGTTTTGTGGGGCCCGGGACATGTTTTTTTCATGGGACCAAGAAATTTTTTTTTTTTTTTAAAGCATCAAAATCGTTTGGACGTCGGCATTATAATTTATATTTACTCTCACTCGTTTATTATAGGGATTCCAATTACTATATTAAAAACCCACAAGCCGCCACTGTAGACGGGACTTGTATTTTTAATTCGAAATATAAAATTATAGGCTTAATAATCATCAAATGCCATGAAAAGCCTGGGCAGCTGCCCCTTCTGCCGGCGTTAGTAATAACTTTTGTCAATTAAAAACGATTTAGAAAAAGGAAATTCAAACAATTAAAGTTAATACCAACATGTTCAATATGTTATGATATTATAGAAGCATGTGTGAAGCAATGTATAAGCAAAAACATTCAAGAATATTATTTACAGTACAACTTTCTTTGTTTTTTTTTCTTCATCAGTCACCATATTAATAAAACAAAGAATTTGTTTGAAAAAAGTCTATACAATATATTATTTGAAATATTATCAAAAATAAAGCACAATATTAGAGTACAATATAATCAGTAATCACACAATATGCAGTTAAGAATTTTGTACACAGTTAAAAAAACACTGAAAACTATTTTTCAGTATTTTAAATACCCATATAATAATGCACGTTTTTATTATTATGAATGTAATTTAATTAATCCTTCAAAAATTAAAATTATGTTATGAGTTATGACATATTATGTTATATAATCCTATTTGAACCTTAGCCTGTGTTGTAATGAATAAAAAATAAATAAACATAGGTACCTAAATAAAACAAAAAATAATGAATGGTATATAATTTTTAGGGACAATAATTCTTGGTACTCAAATAATTTTATAGGTAAGACAAATAAAATGTAAATAAATGTTTCATATAAAATATACAATAAAAGGGATTAAAATAATATTTTTGTTAAATAATGTAATAAATTAAAATAAATAATAAATAATAGGTAACAATATTTTGTACGACTTATCATGAAAATAAAATATAAAAATAACATGGCAATATGACATAATTGTTGCAAATTTCTTTTAATTAATATCCTATCAATACCTTCATAAATATAACTAGGTTAAATACATTATAGAATTTTTCATAAACGATTCATCCAAATTCGTGATGCTTGAATGGCCTAATAAAAACAATAAACATTGTACCAAATGGCAATTTTACAAAATATTTAATAAAGTACTTACCAATGTATATTACTATCACTATTTTATCTTATGTTTTAGTTATATTATTTTTATTTGCCTATTAACTAACATTTAACTGAAATAAAATTAGTAAATATTTTGATTTGAGTGTCATAATGCACAAATATATATTTCTTTAAATACTTATAATACTTTATAATTTATAATAAGTTATTAGTAAATTAGATTACCTACTATGGGTGTTTAAATTAGAAAACACTAAAGAGGCAGTATTGTCTGGTGTTGTGTTCCGTTTAATAAATTAATTGGTAAGTTATAAAATGTTGGTAACATATTGTTATTTACAAGTTGATCTTAACTACATTAAACTAGCCGGCTTAAGTGATAATTTTTCAAAATTGAGTTCATTATAAGATATTAATCAAAATATTATTTCAGAAAATGGTACAAGTAATAGGTTTAAGATAATATACATCTAAGACAATGTATATAATTAAATTAAATTTGTATCCTCGTTAAGTGTAGAAATAGTAGTTTACATTAAATACCGATAATTTGTGCATTAAACTTACTGCTGATTTTCCAGATCGATATTAAAGCTTGAATTGTTCAAATCTATACAATTTTCTATCATTTTATTGAGTTGTTAATAAATGATTCATCCAAATTAATGATGCTTGTATTAGCCTAATAAAAACAATTAATATTGCACTAATTTTACAAAATATTTCATTAAATACCTAACTAATGTATATTACTATCAATTATCATTGTTTCAGTCATATTTTTTTTTATTTGCCAATTAATCAACACTTAAATTTAGACTACTGTGGGTGTTTTAATTAGAAGACTCTAAATGTGAGTTTCCAAACACCGAGTCGTGTTCAAAGTTCTGATCCATATATTTTATACGTTTCAATTATTCACATTCATCAACTATTCTAAATTTAAGTTTTAGTATATTATGTACTTTCTTAAGTTAAAATAAGTATTCACATAATACACTCATGTTTGTCCATCTTAGAAATTATTTTGCTTATATTTATTTTAAAGATTTATCAATATGTCCTATTCTGAACCCTTTAAAATAAGAAGTTTAACTCTTAGAATTGTGTAACATACAGGTAACTGGAATACCAGATTATTTTTATGTTATAAATTACAATATTATTAACTATCATTCCATAGTCATGAAAAAATTCCAATGAATTAATTTTTTTTTTTTATTAAATAAAGTTTTACTGACTATGTCATCTTAACTTATTGTTAATTAATACATTTCCAATGAATTAATATTATGTAAAATCTTAACAAAAATAAAAAATTTACAAATGAACGCCAGCAACATTATCTTTCATATAAATTTCAGGAGTTAAAGAAGGGGACTCGTCCTCCTACCTCTGATGGTAGTTAAAAAGCGTGAGCTTTAAAAATATAGAATTTTTTGTAAATTAAATTTTACATGAAATAAACTACAAATTTGAAAATTATTCAGGGTTATGAGTGGAATGAGTATGCTTACACAATCACTGTTTAAACATTACATATACATTAGATATTATACCTACATAAAACTCTATAATATAGTTTTATATTATACTACCATATTATGGTCATATAGAAAGCTTAAATCTATAAAACTATATGGAGACATATTTAGTCCCCTAGAATTTTTCCCACTTTAAGTCTATTGTACAAAATCAAATCAAAGCAAAGGTACCAACCTACTTAAATAGGTAAGTATAGCTTCTTTTTATAAATGCAATATCGATTAATAATGTATAATTAATAATATGGTATTTAAATATTGTATGTGAGTACCTGTTTTTTTAAAGCAGCAGCGGTATCTTTCCAATTCGCATCTATTTGGAAATGTAACTTAATCATTTTGGTTGTGTCAACGCGTATTGTACAAAACGGGCAATTAAGTTCATCATCTTGGTTCAAAAACCTTGAAACAATGTCATTAAGTTAAAGTTTAGTACTTATTTATTATAATTTATATGTAATAAACAATTTGGTGTAAAAAAGTTAAACAAAAATAATTAAATAATACTATAAGGTATATTATGGGATGCTGGAGATAAATAAAAAATATTATATTATGTGCCTACTGCTTGTTGAAACACATTCTAAGGCATTCTGCATGAAACAAATGGCCGCATGGAGTTGTGAATACAGATTCTTGGTATATCCCAGTAAATGCAGCCTTACATACTCCGCAACAAAACATTTTGTGGTTTGCACGAACTTAATATTAAATTAAATTGAAAAATCAATTAGACGTACATCCGTCATCCGTACTTGGTAGCCTTACAAGATGAATTTAATATTAATGATTATGACTGGCCTGCCTAGTACCTAACTACATAAGTTTTAGATTAAAATATTAAATGTTGATTAGGTAGGTACCTATTATTATAACTAACAAAAGTTATTATAGCTCATCAATTCATTGAATATGCATACAAAATAGGGATATAATAAATATTATTTATAGTAATAAATAATAATAATAATGATGATTATAATATATTATAATAATGAGACCCTATTTAAGATATTACACTTCCTTAATAATAAAATGATAAGTGTTCATAGTAAGTATAATCATGGCTAAATAATAATTATAATTATAGTTATATTGTTGTTTAATATTATGAGCATTTAGAATAGGCATACCTAAACATAATACTAAACTATATAATAATTAGGTACCATATTATAATGAACAGACAATGGTGTTATTTCTTATTAATATTATGAAAGATTATAATTATAAATGAAGATTGAACTAATGAGGGAATATTATAGAGCTGATTATAATACAAATGTGGAAACTGGAAATATTTAATATTAATAGACTTTGGAGAAATGGTACCTTTGGCGATAAATGCATCTAGAACAGAGGAGAGGAGGGAAATTAGTGGACCGAATGGCCGATGATAAAATTTAGATTTTAAATGAATTGTGATAAGAAATAACATGGGTGATGTGTGAGACATGTTATGCCGGTTGTTGGTGAATTAACTATAATTTTGTTTTAATTTTGAGGAGAAATCATATTATTTTAGTACTTAACTCTAGAAAACTATTGTCACGATGATAATTATTAATACCTATTAATAGTTTTTTAGTTCAAGTATGGTAATATAAACGCTGATAACTAATACCTACTATGTAGAAATAATTCTAAAAGCAAAACGATCGCTCTCAAATGTATTCTTGATCCCGAAAAAACCTTTTTCAAATTTTCAATAGAAGGTACCTATTTAAAAATTGTCGATAAATCAGTTGCTTATTAGCAGTTGTGTTTCATACTGTTATTTAATTTGTTCGGCTCCTCTAGAAAAATATGAATCAATGCCACTGAGGTACCATAATAATGTAGTTCCTCCACGTTCTTTTTACCATACAATTAGGTATGCTATTTTTACCTCAGACACGCATAAAGTTATGTTAGATAAGAATTGCAGAGATACCTATATTATTAATATGTAAGTGCTTGGAATTAGCTTGCGAGCGAAGCGATCTGTTTTATTTTTTGGTTAAATTACATTTATAGGCTCGTCAAAACTATAACTTATTAAAAACTTAATGAAGCCACTGAGTTATATAACGAATTATATAGTTTTTTTTTTTTATATATATAATGGCTATAGTGGAGGGAGGGCAAACGGGAAAACTGCATTTTAAATAGTACGCCTCTGCCCATTACTATAAGTTATTATGTTTTTAATTAATATACACAATGGTTGAACTATTTTATTAATAATAATTTTACCCATCTATGATTAGTCGAACCGTGTAATAAATCAATGCCTTCCGAAAACCGACGTACCTACCTTTACAGGTAGTGTAAAACGGTGTGAACTGCCAATATGACATATGTTCAATGACGGTGGTATAATTATCTTACAATTATTGGTCCAGCATAATAATAGTGAATAATACTCATTAATATTGTTATTTGTTATTATCTTTCATAATCTGTGGTTTTATTACCTCGAAGTCTTGAAGACGTGTAGTTCGTATTCAGAATTGTCTAGTTATTTACCAAATTCAGTTATATTGTTATTCGTTAATGATATATTACCTATAATTACTAATACCCACGGAAAACAATCCACAATAGACACCGTGCAGATATACACTAGCGCTCCCGGTAGTGTACGCATGCAGTTTTTGTATGATCATTGATACGGATATTACATTATGCCATTATGGACATTATGGTACTTACCTATATTATTAATTATCATTAATAATTAAAACATTTTTAAATAGTAAATACCAATTTTTAATTATTTGTATTTATTGACTGTATTTCTATTTTTCCATACATTTTTATTTATTTCCTATTTATTGTTTAAAATGAGTAAAATCTGCTGTGTTGTTAACTGTAGTAATACTTATAAAAACACTACAAATGTTAAGTTTTATAATTTTCCAAACAAGCCTTACCAGAGTGAATTAAAGAAGCAATGGATTTATGCAGTTAAACGTTTAGAGTAAGCTAAATAAAAGCATAATATATTTAATTTGTTTGTGGATAATGTATTAAAATTGAACTCTGTAAATCTGCTTTTAGCAATAATGGTCAATTGTGGTATCCTAGGCCTCATTCTGTTATCTGCAGTGAACATTTTGTTGGTAATAAACGCTCAAATGACTCAAATAGCCCTTCATACATACCATCATTGTTTCCTGAAGTGTACAAAAAGAAACAAGTTAATATTAAACAGCTGAGTGATAGGTATATACGAACATCAAACCGTCAAGACAAAAAGTTAAAAATGATGATAAATGATGTCAAGTCTTCAGAAGTAGAAATCATAGAACCACTTCAGTGTGAAAGCTCGAATTGTGTCTCTAATGTGGGAATTCAAGTTATGTTTGATTTTAACAATGCAAATCCATTTAAATTTGAATGCGAATTTAATAAATTGAATAATGATGTTGGAACTCAAGCAAATATCCCATTATCAAATAATATTTCTAAAATTTCTAATACTAAAGACATTGCTTGTGGTCCAGATGTATCTTGTTTAAACATGAATTCTTTTTTAGGATATCATTCTATAACTAACGAGTCACAATTAAAAGACTTAACCAGTACTACATTTAAAGTTTTTAACTTGCTACTTTCATTTATCTCTGATTCTTGTTATAGTGCTGTGAGTAAAGAAAATAGATTAATGATTTTTCTCATCAAAATTAAATTGGGTATATCATATTCAGCCATTGGAGTATTATTTTATTTAATATTAATCGTACGACTGTGTCAAGAATATTTTATTCGGTTCTAAATTCTTTAGTTAGCAAAACAAAACATTTTATCTTTTGGCCCAACAAAAAATCAATTTTAGATACTTTACCAAGAGCATTTAAGCAAAATTATCCTAACTGCCGCTGTATTATTGATTGCACAGAGATAAAAACTGAGCAACCAAGTACAGTTGAGCAAAGAGTTAACATGTATTCAAGATATAAAAGTGCTTACACAGTAAAAACTCTAGTAGCAATTACTCCTAGTGGTTTAATTTCATTTTTATCAAAATGTTATGGGGGTAGAGCAAGTGACACATTTATCACCAATGACTGTGGTTTTTTATCAAAACTTGAAAAAGGTGATGAAGTTTTGGCAGATAAAGGTTTTCCAGGTATTAAGGTCTCTTGTGAAAATAAAAACAGTATTTTAATAATGCCTCCTTTTCTTCATAATGGGAGATTTAGTGAAAATGAAGTAGTTGAAACATACAATATTGCTAGTGTGAGAATCCACATTGAAAGAGTTTTTGCCAAATTAAAAACTTTGGGAATTTTAAATAAAATAACTATAGATTTGTTACCCCATGTAGATGATATTATGCATATATGTTGTGTGTTAATTAATTTACAAAACCCTATAATTAAAGATTAACAATGTAACATTTATTTTTAAATCATATAATTATAATATAATTAATAATATAATTGTGTATATATTGTGTATTATAAATGTTAATATAATTAACAAATTCTTTAAAACTATTACAATGTAAAATATTATTATTAATATTAATAACTATGTAACACAACAACAAGTGTATCTTATTTATTTAATATTAAATGTTCAACAGGTAAAATAGGTTTTATAAATCAACGAACAACTTAATAAAATCTTTATTCAAGCAAACATCTTGGTAAGAAAAAATGAAAATAAAAATATTCCAGTCTTTTTAAAATGGTTTGTAAAAATAAAATATTCTTCTCAATTGTAATCACTAGTGGGTCTATCTTATTGTACACCAATAAATCACAATGACTTATACCAGTGCAATACATTAAAATTTGGCACTGAGTATAATATTGATGTGTTGTTTTTAAAAAAAATTTATTATTCTTATATTCTAAGTAAGGCAAATTACATTTTTTTTGTTTTAGATCAAATATAGGTTTATTTTGGCATGATATTGGACATTTAACTTCTAAAATTTTTATAGGAACTTTGTTTTCAATAACAAGACCATCAGGACTTGCACAAAGCCATGGTCTTTGTGAATGAACAATTACTCCACACTTCAGAATAATTATATTATTAAACATTTTGCTATAAAACATGATTGCTTCACTTTCATACTTGTTACCATAAGACACATTAATTTTTCCCTGATAACCCAATTCTTTTTCTGTTAGTAAAGTCTCAGCTAACCTTTCTTGATTTTCAACCGATAAATTTTTGCAAGTTTTTATCTTATGCGCTTTAACACTAGCTGAGATTCTATTCTTTCGAACTTCTTTCCATTTGCTACTCTCAGACTGCATTTTAGTCTCGTTAAATATGTTTATAATTTGTTTTAAATCAACTACAATATTATTCATATAAAATTTATTTTCATTTAAATTTAATGGAAAGTAAGAACCTATCATTGGTGGTAAGGCAATATCATATGCATTTTGTTTGGTGAGAATAAAGTTTAAAAAATCAATGTCTACTGACTTTTCCACCTCGTTTAACAAATCTAATAAACATCTCTGACACTCAATATCAGCCTCACTTTGTATTTCTTTTTCAATCATTTTACTGAGAATACAAGGAATTTCTAATATTTTACATTCATTCACAAGTGCCTTATGACTAATAGTTCTGTTAGTTGTATTACATTCAGATTTAGAATAATTTTGTTTCTTTTTAGGATATAGATATTCGATGGTTCTGCCTTTTTTGTACTTGGCTTCACCTGATTTTGAAGGTTTTCCCCATTCTTGTTCTACATTTGTTTTTGAATTACTCTCTTCATTATTTATATAATAAAAAAGTGCAGCAATGTGCTTACACTTATTCCCAGCTCCAGCAGGACATTCGCAAAAACAATGAGTTACATTCCTAAAGGGATCTATTTATAAATACAATTTAAGAATTAGACTAGTTACTTTTTTACATTTGATTTTTGTACCTACTTCAAATGTAACTTTATAAGGTGGCAGAGTGACTGATGTCTGCCTAATAACATAACCGTTGATGGTACCATATCCATTTGGCTGCTGTACTTCAGATACTGTGTGCACATGACCACTTTCGAACAACTTAACGCCTTTATTATTTTTAAATTCACAGTTATATGTAATGGTTCTAAAGCCACAGTTAAAGATGATATCTGGTTGAATCATTATGTAGTAGAAATTTCAAATCTATTATAGTACCTATGTGTGTAGTGTGTAATATAATATTTTCAGGTAAGTAGGTACTATGTGTATAACAGTATAACAGTAAACAGTAGATACAATTACAAACAAACTTAACAAACTGAATTAATAAAATATAAATATTAAATAGTCCAATAATTTATAAACCACTTATAATCACCCATTGATATATTTCATAGTGACAGTGACTAGTGATTATGAAAAACAACAAAAATAAATATAAGTTTTTAATAATAATTAATATAAATAACCATGGTAAATTATTTAATTATCATACAAAAGTTGCGTGCATTCACCACTACGGTGCGCTGTTTTCCAGCGGCTGCACGGTGTCTATAGAGGATAATATAAATATTATATTATAGTGTAGTTGCATATTTTCAACTATTTGGTATATTAATATATTATAGTAACAGGTTAACCACACGGTTTACACGGAGTGTCGGAGTGTACGCAGACAACTAAATTGTAACGCTTTGATCATTACCTAGGTACTGTACTATATTATTTTGGACTACCTATGGTAAATTATAGTTTATAAAAAATATAGAAGCTGATTCCTGAGTTCCAAACTTTTGTAGTTACTGGTCAACCGTAGTTCTAATTGCCTCTAATATTTAACAACCAAGATGACTTTCCCAAATCTCGTATAGTTCTATTACCACCTGCTCTATACTTTTGCGTTTTCTGCTCGTTATTTTTGTTCCGTCGTATTGATTTTGTTTAGTTGATTCCAGATAGGCAGACGGCCTATTCGTCATGGCGATGGCCGGCGGCGATACCGACGCCAACGAATTTATCGTTGACGACAAAATCGACGAAGGTAAAACAGTGAATAATCGGATCTTAAGGTTCCACTCATTTGTGACCGTGTGACGTCGACACGTCGACATTTTCTAGTGTTGCTCAATCTCGTACTGCAGAAGAAACTTGAAGTGTCCACCGTTATTAAAGTTTACGGTATTCCTAAAGTCACGCCCATAGCCTTCAACCAACTCCGAGTAGATGTCACCAAAATATTTACGCAGTACGGTAAAATCCTCAGAGATTACTATCCAAAATCTGAGAATGGTCACACTAAAGGGTGAGTGCTTACTTTGAACATTCCACTCTGAATGTGAACGTACCTACATTTTGAAATATCCATTGATTTTTTTTACTAGTTTTTTATTCATTGAATATGAAGACCCCGAAAGCACATTGAAAGCTGTTAAGGGTGCTAACGATTCCCAATTAGATAGCAAATATCCTTTTTTAGTACAATTGGTTTCCAACTGTAAAAGGTAAGTTGAATTAATCATGTGTTTCTTTTCATATGATATTATTAATTTTATTTTTAAAATAAGTAGGTGTGGGTGCATTCCTTTTTAGTTAATTTTTTGAAAAATTTGCCTAGTTAAACTGTTAATTGTCTTATGACTATATTTTTCCAATTTTCAAGTTTAAAATGTTGATGTATTATTATTAATTAATCAATTTTAAATGGTAAATAACTATCTTGATAAAAGAAGTGCCTCAAATTATTTTTCAGATAAGATTTCATGAAATTTTTTTGTTAATTAGATATTAAATTAAATTATTATTTAATACTTGTTTGTATTTTATTTGCACTACACGATGATAGTTTTATAAGAAAATATTATTGTTCATTTGTTTAACTTGTTATTATTGGAGATGACGGACTGACTAAATTAAAACCAAATATACTTTTTTAATTCCTAAAAAAGTAAACTAACATGTTACATGTATTTAAATGGTTTATCATAATATATTAAATCTTTTACCTATCGATTACATTTTTAAACTTTTTACCACATTATAGAATAGCAACCCTGCTACAGCCAATACCAGGCCATAATGTACAATATCATGTAGACAAGTATTTATACAATCGTATTCAAGATTGGATGAATAACGTTCCACATATACCAGAATTAGAAAAACGTAAAGTAAGTACCTACCTACAATTTATTGTTGGATCATTTTTTTTCTAAAAGTGATAATTTCTATTATTTTTAATTGGGTACATACATCAAAATATAAAACTGACTTACCAATATATAATGCATATATATGTAGTGTACTTTTGTTGTACGTCTAACTCGTTATTTATGATCAAAGTTTGTGAAATTGATATCTAAATGATTTCATTATTTATTATTAGGTAGTTCATAAAATAATAATATGATGTACTTATGCAGTATTTAAATTCATGGCAATGTATGTACCTAGACCTAATTAAAATATTACATAATATATACTTGTATATTTTATATCAATAATTTAATTTAATTAGACATTTTTAAGTGTTTCTAGGTATTTACCTAATTATCAAATATTGCATTATAAATGTAAATTAATAAAGTTAATTTTGTTTAATTAACCAACATAACCAACAATTTTGCTGACTATATTTTAAAATGTATTTGTAAAGATTTTTATTAATACATGCTTAAGATGATAGTGTCATAATTAAAATATGATGTAAAATTTTTTACTTATTAATTTATTAAGGTTAAATAGTTCCGTGTCTTTCTATCTAACATAGGAAAATTGTGCGTCAAAACAGTCTGAGGGTAAACTAATGCGCATTCTGATAAAGAAAGACGTTTACGATGTATTTCAGAATGTTTATTACCTATGTACAAGTTTGATCACCTTATTTAGACTCTAGTAGTCTATTCTATATGGTTCTGATGTCTAATGTTTAGCCGAGCACTCTAACTTTCCCAAATCTCATAATTTGTATTACTTGTACATTTTCCATTTTTCGGGTCATTTTGTTTGTTCCATTGTCTTGACATTTTTTAGATGATGGCAGAAGCCCAATTGGCCATGGCCAAAAAAAATGATTCCTAGACGTATGAAGAATTGTATTAGTTACCCACATATTCATTGAGTATAAAAAATATGAAAGAACCTTGGGTGCTGTTACATAAGCTAATAATTTCCAACTAGACAAAAGTCATTCTTTCTTATTACTTTCTGGCTACAAAAAGTGAGTTTATTTTATTTTTTTGTAATAATACTTTTGTTGGACCACATTAAATATTTAATATGGTTGATTGTTATTTACCAACTAACTAATATGTGGGTATATATTATTTATTTTTTCCAAGTTGTATTTTTATGAGTCATTATAACTAACTAGTTATTGTACCCAACTAATGAATTTTCAGGACTAATGGGCGGAGTACAATTTATCAACACTATATTATATTACATTATTTTCAATATCTATTTATATATTAAAATATTTTGAACAAATGAATGAAGTGTGCTATTATATTATACGATTTTTTTTAATGTAGTAATTATGCTTTAGCCATAATTCTTATAAAATAATTTGGTTCTTGTGCTGGGTTGCATGAACAATCAATAAACATTTAACCCATCATTAGTAATTGAAATAAGTCTATCTTAAAAAAATTAAATACCTAAGATTCTAGTCCAAGTTGATCATTGAAGAATTGAATTTGGGTATGGTGCTTAGAGCTATAATTTTAAGTTATTTTCCGTTTGATGTGTACAAATACTAATACTAACCAATAATAGTTATACGAAATAGGTAAGCACTAAGCTTACTGATTCATCACTTGACACTTGAACTTACATTAAAATCATTTTACCAATGATGACAGATAATATACATAAGTTAAATAAAATTAGCTTTCTTCTATGTTGTAAATTTAGACATCCATTTAAATAAAACAATGTTTATGTATAAATATGTCTTAAAAATAAACATAACCTTTAGAATAAAAATTAATGTTAATCAAATCCTAAACATTTAAAATGTACTTATAAAAAAAATACAATTCAATCAAGCTAAAGTGACACCATTTATCATATTATCTAAGCATTGTAATTTCCACATAACAGATTATTTTCAAATTGAAATATAAGTCAATGCAAATAAAAAAATTCAACAGTTAAAATCAAAATAAATTGTTATTTGTCATGTGGAGTAAAAATTGTTGTAGCATAAAATAATTATTATAAACATTAAGAAATTTAGAAATTGTTACCTGTTAAAAATATATTTTTTTCATGCAATCTTCTACAATTTTTTATAAATTTAATCACATATATAAACGAAAAAGATGAAGTCACTTGTTGCGAAGACCTAGAAAAATAAAACTTTTAAACTACCATCCCTAACTGAGTTTTGAGGTATATATTACATTTTTTTATTATACCACAATTTAAAGTAATGAACAATTCCATGATAATTCAATGTACAACCCACATTATATTATTTAATTTAAAAACAATGAAGTTCAATAATTAAACTATTAATAACAATATATAACTCAATACTTGGTAACAATTTTACATATATTTTACATATACATTATACATTTTACAATAAAAGAATCTCAATAACTATTTGCCAGTACACAGGATTTGTTAATTGTAAGTTTACATATTATTCAATCAAATTATTGAGTACTATCAAATTTTCTCTCTCTATTTGGTTTCATATAAACAAAACCATTGAAAAAATCTTTACCCGACATTGTTTTATGTCCAGGAATTTTAAGTTTTTCAATAGACACGTAACCTCCTTTTCCACCACATTTAACAAATAATTTTTTTCTTTGCTTATCATATACTAAACCTCCTGGTTGTAACTGAGTTTCTGAATTTGACATCTGATAATTGCATACTTTTAATAATTTTACAGATGTCCCATGCCAAGTGGTTATTAATGGCCACAAGCCAGATAATGCTCGATATTTGTTATAAACTGACTTAGAATCCGTAACATTCCAATCAATAATGGATAGAGTTTTGTCCACTTTTGGTGCTTTAAGATTAATTTAAAATCAATTATTAAACATTTATTTTAAAACTTTAAAATATAGGTATATTTATGTAAAACTATTATATTATTTGCATGTTTATTTAAAAATCATTTAAGCTATACCCTATTTCAAAAGAGAACATACCAGGCGGCCACGGGCAAAACCGGTTTTCTTGTGTAAATCTGGTATATTCTCTTTTGAAACAGTGTATAGTAACATTTTTACAATGATCTTAGTTAATGATAAGACTTAAAATGTTGAATCATAAACTTATGATGGATTTTAACAATCTTATTTTAGAATACTTTAAAAAATATATCTTAAATGTTTTAATAATTGCATGTTACTGATTTTCAATAATGCTTTAATTTTTTTATGCTCATCTTAAATTAGACCATGATATTTAAACAAATAAAAAAATATTTTTTTTTAAGGAATAAAACTATTTCATAATACCATGGTTATTTTCATAGGTTGGCGTACACTGGTATGCTGCCTGTATATAAATTAGATCTATGGGGCGAATGTGTTACAAAGCTCAAGTTTATAAGTAGACAGTAGTCGTGTAGATCAAAGTATTATAAAATGTATGATAAAACAAATTATAATCTGAAAATGTAGTTTGTCAGTTCTTTTTACAAGACAATTCAAGATAATTTTTTTTTACAAGAAGTTTTCAAAAGTTTCTTAATAATTTAAAATATAGATACATTTACATATTTATAACTGTTAAGACTTTCATTGTATAATATTTCTTTGTTTGGCTAGTTGTTTAAAAAATAAACAATTTTAATGTCTTAATTTTAAACTACTTAAAATATGTCTATTGAGTATAATTTAATGTAAACAAAATTTTAGGATAAATTCTGTAATAAACATGAGATGGATTTTCAAGTCTTCAATAAATCTCATTAATAATTATTTATTGTTTTTTTTCTAGGTCACAAAGAGTATGTCTGATCACTTGATTAAGAAAAAACTTTCATGACATAAATACTACTTCTATTATTATAGTTTGTTAAAATTTAAAAAGTAGTAGCACTAGTGTGTATTGGTCAAGGATGAATTTTATAATGTTCTTGCGCTTGAGGTAGTCGTAGTGATATACCTCCTTGGGTGGGCTGGACTTGAAAGTAAAACTTTTTAAAGTTAACATTTTTTATCACAAATGAAAAGTAAATTATTAACTTTTCCAGTTAATTGTAATATAATAAAAATTATAGTATCTACCTATTCAAATACATTTATACATACTATTCATTTTTAATACTATAAATACTAAAAATTTTAATTTTTAAAACCATACTTATTAAATATTAAAGTGTGTTATTCTTCTAAATTTATGAATACTTGATTTCACAAAGGAGTTTATAAATACCTATATTTATTTTATATTTTGCATTCACAGCATAATATAAATTCTGAACACAAAATTAAAGTATTAATTTAATACAATTGTGAGAAAAATAGTTATTTGTTTCCCCTATCCTGTGATACCTACTAACAACATAAGCTTAAAATCAAATGGATTACCTATTAAATTGAGTTTATTGTTTGATATCAACAATAGTATTCATGCATACAAGGCTAACTGTATCCACTCGGTTACAAATTGAGAATGTGCAATTATACTACTGTTTGTTAAAAATCAATTTTTCGTGTTATTATGCAATAGCGCATACATTAACAGATATACAGCCACACACCGCCTGGCTCTGCTAACTCTATTAGTTCACCATGGTTGCTGTATAGACCAACGATAACACGGTATACGCCAACCTGTGTAGATAACCATGTCAAATACTATAGAAAATACTTCTTTGTTTCTAGCATTAGAATTAAAATTTGAAGTCTTATATACTGTAGAAATATCTATTATATTTTACCATAAGTTATCCCATTTTCAGATTGTGGTACTGCGTGCCTTAAATTCTTTGTTAATTCTTTAAATGAATCAATTAACAAACGTCCACCCATATCTGATAGTTTTTTCTTTAGTTCATCAGCTGTTTCATCTTTGCCAACTGAACAACTATGTTGTCTTACAATTTCACCAACATCAAACCTAGGAAATAAATCGAATATTCTCAACAAATAATAAATAAACAAAGTAGCTATGTATTTACAAATACTCCTGGCAAATATTTATTATATATCATAATATTATGATATAATATACAGTTTGCTTCAAAAGTCTTGTATTACCACGAGTAGCTCTGACGTTTCAATTTATCAAACAATTTAAACGTGGGTTTTTTCAACAGTAATCTAAGAAAATCCCGAATTAATATAACATACATTTTTTTTTAATGATTGTTAAAAAAAATTCATTTAAATTGACTTTTGGAATATACTACATAATGCTAGTAAACAAATAATATTATGGGATACTGTGTAAAAATTAGTAAATTTACCTACGAGGATGAATTTTCATTATTGTTACTCCAGATGTTAAATCGCCATTAAGTATAGTATATATTATAGGTGCTGCTCCTCGCCATCGGGGTAAAAGACTAGCATGTACATTAATCATTCCTCTGAAACCAAATTAATACATTAATCGTTAAAATACAGTGATAAAATTGAATTAAATAGATACAAATATTGTGACTATGATATGAATTTGCAGCACATAGTTTTATATAATGAAAACTTAATTCTCCCTAGTCAAAAAAATGCATAATTATAAATAAATATAATAATATTAAGTACTGTGTTTAGAAATTATGTTGTATTCTTACTGTGGAAAACATTTTATAATTTTTTCCGGTATCAATCGTCCGAACGACACTACTACTCCAATATCATATTTTCCGTCTAAGAGTGTTGTGTCAACAGGCCAATCGTATATTTCTAATTTTTCTTCTTTTGCAAAATTGTTGACATTGATGCCATTGCCTGTAGAAGTTGTGACAACATCTACCTTGGAAATTATGGTCTGTGTTCTCCTATAAAAATTCATGTGGACCATTAAATACAATAATTTAATTTCACCACGTACACTACACGAATATGATTACATTTTTGATGTGAGCATCTGAAGACTTTTGACCGAAAAATCATCATTGCCAAAGAACATAACTCGCCAAGGAGGGCCTTTTGAACCGCATTTATTTTTCAATGAAATGGCTGAATGTGTGAATGATGATTTTCCTAACACTGTAAACAAGCTTTTGTGAAATCTGTAACCACTTAACTTCAATAAACAGTTCATTTTGCTAAAACCAAAAACATGAAAACTGTAAAAAAATTAGCAATATTATATGAAATAATATTTATAATATGCATTATATTTTCATATTATTTCCCGAATACTAGTCGCCGGTCGGATACTCAAGTTACACATTATTGTTTATTATCATTTAAAGTCAAAAAATGTTGATAAATGATAACAGATAAAATAATGATAAGGGCACGGTATGAATGATAACTTTTATAGATCTACCATTAAAGAAGAGTGTTACTTGTATATTTAGGAGGGCCGTAAAAAACGGGAAAGTATTTTTCAGGAAAATTAATATCAGAACGATATTTCTATGAACCATATTTTTCATGAACACTATTCAACAAGAATTTTATTTAATGGAATTATTTTTTTCAGAATGTTTTTTTTTTGGAACAATAATACCATTGAATATGTTTGTCAGGAAATTATTTTCTCAAAAACCGTTTACAAAGGATTGGTATGTATTAGAATTATACTACACAGAATCGTACGAATCGGGACAGTTTTTTAAAGTACGGTAAAAACAGAAGTTTAGCACTTATCAATTATGATAAGGTAGGTAACCATATTCCTGCATACTCTGTTGCCTATTCATATCTTACAAGGGTTTTTAAAAAAAATATTTATTTTTCAGATATAATTAAGAATTCAAAATCGTCAAAGGATGAATAATAATTATTATTACTTTTAAAACAATGAAATCTATTATGCACATTATGTACCTACCTGTTAACACTCAAATCTAATTCACTAACGTACTAACAATTAACGAACACAAGCATTCTTATTTACATATAATTAAACTTTATTAAAACAAACACAAACACGCTCGAGATGTGCCCGAGGTGTCGGTCGCGAGACTACTGATAATATATTTTTTTTATTTTGTTACTACATAATAATAATAATAATAATAATAATGATAATAAATGATAACATTCGGTCATCCTGGCATTTAAATGACCTCATTTATAACAGGTGAAACTAGATTAACTTCCATCATAATAATGGACATTTAACACATATATATATATAAAAAGACAAATAATAATAAATTATAGTAAATAAATAATAAATTATAATAATAAATTCATTTAAGATCATAATCTGCTAAATATGTCGGCTTCCTAGCTAATCTTTGTGGTCTTAATGGTTTGACCGCCTGTACTTGTTAAGTAAGTGTATTCTCCACAATTACACCCTCTGGTTGTTCTGTTTGGTATTCTCCCTCTTCATCCTGTTCATTCTCTTGTTCCTGGTATTCGAGTGCTTCATCTTGATCGTCGTCCTCATCGATAGGTAGATGATATGATTTCAGATCAGACACATGCGCGGTTGTACGATACTGATGGCCACTATGTTGCAATAGTTCCTGTAGTCTATATGTATCTCCCGGTAATGTTTGGGTAATAATTAAGGGTCCCCTGTACTTTGGCTGTAACTTAGTCGGTTGGCCAGTATATTCGGGTGGTCTCTTAAGGTAAACTATTTCTCCAACAGAGTAAGTAACATTGGTATGTTTCGCATTATATTTAATTTTCCACAACTCATGCTCCTTGATTATGCTATCCCTGATTCTGGATTGTAACGATACACTATTGATCCATGTTTGATCATTATCAACTAGTCTTGCCAACGCTCCATCATTGGAATTGGCATAATATCCAAACAATGCGTGAAAAGGGGTGTCCCCAATAGTTTTATTTACTGAATTATTGAGCTGGCTCTCCACACGTTGGAGTTCTGTATCCCATGTTTTATCAGTGTTCATGCTAGCTTGTATCATAGGTACCAAGGTTGCATTTGTGCGTTCGACTTGACCATTAGCTTGCGGGTGGCGCACAGAGATAAGTGAATGGATAATACCATTGGAAACACAATATTCGTTAAATGCTTTACTAGTAAAACCAGTACCTCTGTCCGAAATGATTCTCTGAGGAATACCATAATCCAGAACAAACGATTTGATACATTTCAAAAGAAACTTAGTACTTGTGTTTTTGACCGCATATAATTTGACGAATTTTGTTAAATTATCTATCATTACCAACACATGACAGTTACCTCTTGACGATTGAATGAATGGTCCTACATGGTCTACATTCAGAATTTGGAACGGCCTCTTCCCCGGTGTGATTGGATGTAACTCCCCTGGCCTTTTTCCTCGTGGAATCTTGTGCAGTAGGCACTCTGGACAACAAGTGATATGGTAACGAACATAACGCCGCATCCTTGGGAAGTAGTAGTTCTCCTGAACTTTAGTAACCGTTCTATCTACTGCCCCATGACCTGCCAGGTCATGATATTTCACAATTATGCTTTTTCTCATGCAATTTGGCACTACCCACAATTCTTTTTCAGCACCTTCCTTGTTCCTACATACTTTATATAACATATTATTTTTCAATACAAATGGTTTAATAAGATTAGTTTGTTCTACTGTCCTTTGTTCTGGTGATAATTTGAGTATATTGATCAAATTGACCAATTTCGAATCACAATGTTGCATTGCAACTACCTCTTCTTCCTGGGACCTCACCATTAGAACGTCTAACTGCTTCTCAATCACTTCATGCATTGTATCCACTGCTTCGCCAACTGGTGCTCGACTGGTCGCATCCACGTGTGCCATTTTCATTCCTGACCTGTGCTGTATGTCATAGTCGTATTCCGTCATCAGTGTGGCCCATCTAGCAATCTGAGGGTTCTGTGTTTTCTTTGTATTCATATGGATGAGTGCTTGGCAATCTGTAACAATTAGAAACTTAATATTTACCAAAAGGTGACGTAACCTAGCGACACTCCACACTATTGCCATCAACTCAAGTTTCGTGGAGTGATACATAAACTCTGCTGCAGTCGTCTTCTTTGATACCGCATAAACTAAATGCATCTTGCCATCATCCCCTTGTTGTAGAAGTATCCCGCTTAATCCCACTGCACTTGCGTCACAGTGTAACTCAGTTTTGTCATTAGGGCTATATAATTTCAAAACTGGCTTACTGGTTAAAAATTGTTTCATTAATTTGAATGCTGTGGTCTGTTCTGATCCCCAGACAAATTTACTATCCTTTTTGAGTAAGTCACTAATCGCTCTTGATTTACTCGCATAGTGTGGCATAAATCTGCGAAAATACCCTGTCAGTCCCAAGAAACGTCTGACCTCATGACAATTGTTTGGTATAGGAAAATGTAGTATCGCATCCATTTTGATTGAACCTGGTTGAAGTCCGTCCGTAGTCAGGGTGTATCCTAAAAAATCAACTTGTTCACATGCAAAATGACATTTTTTTAGTTTCAATGTGAGATGCGCATCACCAAGAACCTTAAATACAGATTCCAACTTGACTAACATATCTTCAAAGCTTACCGCTGGAATCAATATATCGTCTAGGTACCAAACAGCCGTGTTACCTCTTAGTTGTCCTAATACCTTACTCATCAGTTTCGAGAAAACAAATGGCGCATTAGTTAATCCAAACATCATGCGTTCAAATTGTCCGGTTTCGGTTGGAGTTATAAAAGCAGTTTTTGCCTTTGACTCCTCGGTTAACGGAACCTGCAAATACCCGGATGCGAGGTCCAAGACACAGAATAATTTGGCACCCGCTAACTCCTCCAATTGCTCATCAATGTTGGCTATAGGAAAATTTTTCTTGACCGTTTGTTGATTTAACTTCCGATAATCGACCACCAGACGTGGTTCGCCATCTTTTTTTGTAACTAGTAGCACCGGTGATGAATAACTAGAATTAGTCTCCGTGACAAAACCCAGTCTTTTCCATTCCTTTACAATATTGTCAATTTTTGATCTTTCCAACGCTGATGTCTTATATGGTTTTGACATAACAGGTGGTCCACTATCTTCAATCTCCATTGACAGTACATCCGTACATCCAATTTCTTCCATGCTGAGGGCAAAACAATGTCGATATTTATTAATAAGATTCACTAATTTTTTTTTCTCACTGTGTGTTATTTTTGGTCCGTATTGAACCAAGTCTTCAGTGATGACTTCCGGTGATCTTCCATGTTCTTCCTTATTCTCCCGTACCGCCGCTTGAACGCCTCCAATTTCTTGATCCTTATATAACTTTGTGTCAGTAGCAGAATAGTTTACCATCAGTACCTCCACAGGTTCCTCGTTTACTGATGCTGTTACAATGGTTACTTCGTTTGCCTTCAACAATTGATCACTATTCACTTTTACTCGTGCTGACTTCATTTTACGGAAAACTTCATCATCAAATTTAAAAATATAATCGTATCCAAATATTACCTCATTTTTGGTTTTAATAAAAGTAACATTTTCACGATCCGTAAAGGTACGTCCGATTAATAAATCGTAACTTTGTGCCAAATCTTCGACTACCCATAATTCGACCATCTCTGCTACGTCATCAACTTCCACCGTTACCGACGTAACACCATTCACTACATTTATCGGGTTATTACCGTACACAGTAAGTTGTTTAGTCGTAGGTAACACAAACAAATTCAACTGTTTAGCTGCACTGGCTTTTATTAAACACACATCGCATCCAGTGTCCACCAATCCCTGAATCAATACCGGGTTGTTGTTGATCTTGACCATTTTAATGTAGCCAGATTTGTTGAGATTAGTATTTACTAAACTAACCACCGGTTGGGTCACTGTCTTACAATATTTTTTTGTATGCCCTTCCTGATGACATACGACACACTTGAGAGGTTTTCGTGGAGCATCGCAATCCCTGCTAATGTGACCAGTTTGTTGGCAGTTATAGCACCGTACTTCGCGTGTCCAATCATTTGTAATTTTCTGGGTACCTTCTTTTATTGCAGCCACTTGTGTAATATTCGACGTAGTAGGTGCAGTTTTCTTAGTGATAGTACTGTTATTTTTAAAATGTAACTGGCGATCCAGTTGTACCTCTTCCATGCGTCGAATTTCTGCTAACAGCTCTTCTTCTCTAATGTGCGCACTACTCATCAGCGCCATACATAAAGTTTGTGATCGTAATCCAACACATATTTGTTGTTTGGTTTCAGTCTCGTCCAATTTCAACTCTCGGCAAAGTCTAATCTTTTCGTGGAAATACGAATAAGTTGTTTCATTTACTCCTTGTATCCGTCCTTGTAATTTCTTCCAGG